TCTCTCTCTCTCTCTCTCTCTCTCTCTCTCTCTCTCTCTCTCTCTCTCTTTCTTTCTTTCTTCTTGGAGTTTGCGATTTTAATCTGTCTCTGTTTGTTCTTGGAGAATGGGGCAACCAGGGCCCTCCTCCACTTTTGTTCCTTCGGCTGCTTCCAGCTGCAGGTGGCTGGCTGTGTCAGTCCCATTCAAGTGGACTTTTCGGCTGATCTTTTCTGATTCATCACCCAGCAGGCAGAATGAGCAAGGCCTGGTGGTTATTTTAATCCTTTGCCTCTCTTGCAGCCTCTTACATTTACAAATCATGGAGAAATTTGCATTTCTTTAGCTTGGGGAGGGGGCGGCCTGAAGGGGCTTTGCTGCCTCCAAGTGGTGGGTTGCCCTTTGCAACACAAGCAGTCAATCAAACTGTATTATTAGGTCCATGACCAGCAAAATTTAAAAGAAGAAAAACAGCGTGATGCAGATAAATACAATTGTAACCCCCGGCTGTTTATATTTTTTTTTCATCTTTTCCAGCAAGCCGGAATGTAAGAACATTGCCCTGGATGTGTTCCAGGTTCCTGGCATCCCCGCCAGACAGGCAGAAGCGCCCAGCGCGGGAACAGATTACAAAGGTAAATGCCCTGGAACGGCCTGCGAGAAGGGGGCCATCTTTTGACGGTGCCCTGCTGGTGGGAGAGACTTTGGGGAGGGGGATAAAAGGTCATTAGTCTAGGCACACCCACTTCCTGCAACCGTTCGTCATATGGTTTAGCCCCCAGACCCTTTATCCCAGAGGTGTCCAATCTTGGCGACTTTAAGACCTGTGGACTTCAACTCCCAGAATTCCCCAGCCAGCACAGCTGGCTGGGGAATTCTGGGAGTTGAAGTCCACAGGTCTTAAAGTTGCCAAGATTGGATATCCCTGCTTTATTGTCTTCGTTGCTCTTCTCTGCATTCTTTCTAGAGTCTCAACATCTTTTTTTGTATCAAAACTGGACCTTGGGTACCAAGCGGGGGTCTTACCAAGAGCCATCCTTCTATTCCATCCAGTTAGCAAAGGGACCTGAATTTCCCTCCGGTGCCAGGTCGATTGATGGTTGGGGCGTTCCCTGTTTGGTTGATTCCCCCTGTTTCCCCCCTTTCAGAGAGTGACCGGGGGAAGCCGTGCCCAGCCAGCAAGCCAGCGGGGACCCTGGCCCAGTCCTACCCCAGGAGCGTGGCCGAAATGGGTCGGCACTGCCACCTGGTGGAGAGCAAGTCCAGGGGTCCTGAAACCAAATACCCGGAGGAGGAAGAGGAGGAGGAGGCATTGGAGGAAGAGGCTGGGAGTGACACAGAGACTCCCCCGAGGAAGCGGATCAAACTGGAGTTCCCGCCGGAGAGCCCCCCGCCCAAGGGGAAGGGGGAGACCTTGCTGGCTAGCTCCGAGGACTCCGACAGCAGCAGCGATTCGGAGCCTGAGATGGTCCCCCAACAGACGGGG